TATTTAATGTTTTTTTTTAATAGGGTGTGAGAATGCATAAGAGAAAGAGAGAGAGAGAGAGAAAATGTTAGAAAGAAATAAAATCACAATTTGAGGATCATGATTTAATTATACAAAATGGTTTTACTTTAAATTATTATTAATGAATTATTATTGTTATTATTATTATTAGTGATAACGTTTATCATTTATAAAAATATCATAAATTGTGGGAATAATTCATAAAATTGTTTTTGTTTAAAAAAAAAAAAAAATGAATTTGTTTGACAATTTGTATTATGTATGTGAGGGAGAGTGCAGAAAGAGATAGGGAGGGGAGGCTACGGGGGGGGGGACTGGGGAAAATCACTTCAGACAAATTTAAAATGAAATGGAACGAAGAAAAGAAAACAAAAAAAAATACTATTTTATTTTATTTTATTTACAACAAGGAGACTTTAATGTAATATAAATTACATTACTTTGGTTAAAATGGTTGCGCAATTTTTTTTTTTTTTTTTTTTGTAAATAGTTTTTGCGTATTCGACGGTGCAATTATATTTTTTATATGTTTAAAAGTCCGCCGCCGTCGCCCCTCTCCCCCCCTCCCCCGCCTTCTCCCCAATAATGAAATAATGGTACAAAAAAAAAAAACTTTTTCTCCGCCATTTTTTTTTTTTTAAATAATGTTTCGAATGGAGTTATATTGTTTTAATTCCGAGCTCTACGGTTAGGAATTCAAGATGGAGAGAGGACCTGTTGCACGGGTAGTCTCTCCATACTTTTTTTTTTCTTTTTTTTTTTTTTTTTATTCATCTTGTAAACAACAAGTCGTCTTGTTTTTTTTTTTTTTTTACAATGCATATCGTTTTAAAATCTCGTTGGAATTTCATTTTTTCTTTTCATATTTTCCACGAATCCTTTGCATCGCAACGATGCGCTTTTGTTTTATTAATTTTTTTTTTTTTTTTTTTAAAAATTGCAAATGGCGGAAAATTTATCTATTTGTCTGTTAGAAATATTTTTGTAACAAAAGGTACACACAATGGTGGTCACGGGTGTATGTAGCGAACCTAGCGGAATTTATTAAAATTATTTTCAACCGATTCTTTCTATCGTGAGTATTCTTTCTGAGTGAGTAGGTTAACGAACATGTAAGTTTGTTAAAGAATTTTTTTCTTTTTTTTTCTTTTTCTTTTTTTTTTTTTTTATTGTATTTCGTATTAATTTCTTTTCTTTTCAAAAACTTTTTTTTTTTTATTATTATTAACAATTGTTAATAACGATAGTGTTTAATTATAAAAGTTTTTAAATGTGAATAATTATTGAAAAAAAAAACAGTGGTAATTATTATTATTATTATTATTATTTGATATTTTCTTTAGAAAAAAAAAAAAAAAAATTTGAACTTGGAATGAACAGCAAATGGTCGTTGTTGTGTAAATGTTTTAAGAGAGAAAGAGAGAGAGAGAGATAGATAGACTACGACGACGACGACGACGCTTGTTTTTTCATGTGATGCCTTCTTTGTTGCGAGGGATCGTGTAGAATCAGGTTCGTTTGACAGCTGCTTTATTAAATATATATATATATATATATATATATTTCTCTTCTCTGTGTTCGTGTGTGTGTGTGTGCGTGTGTGCGTGTTTTCTATTAAAAATTATATTTTATGTATATATATTGGAAAAGTTATATATAACTGTATCAAATCGTGGTAAGTTTCATTTTATTATTATTATTATTATTTTTAATCGTTTAACGTTTTTTTTTTTTTTAACATTGAGTCAGCTTATTACGTTTTGTATTAAAGCGTCAATAAACTTTATTAAAAATGAGTGTGTGTGTGTTACCATATACGAGATTAATTAATGTCAATAAATTATTAATTAAAAATTATTTAAATAATAATGGGAAAGGGAGAAAGAATTGTAAGGTAATTGAAAATGATTGTTAATATTCCCGCAAAATAATTTTTTTTTTTTTTTTAATTGCCAACTTCCTCACATCTCTCTCTCTCTCTCTCTCTCTCTCACTCTCTCTCACTCTTAATCTTATCTCGGGGGGTTTTTTTTTTTATTTAATGCCATTGTTTTATAAGCAAAATTGTTTTAAATAATTTACAGAGTAGTTGTTGTAACAAACAAACGCAAACAAATTAGTAAACAAACATTATTAATCATTATTATTATTATTATTATTATTTTTCTTCTTTAAAATTGTTTGATTTTAACGAACTCGAGAAAATTCACTTGCATTTTTTTTTTTTTTTTATACATATTTTTTGTTTTCATGTATCCATGGTCACTGTAAATTATTACTTTCTTTTAATTGTTTCATAAAACAAATTATTACAAACGTTGTTTTTTTTTAAAATTATGGTCAGTTTTGACCGTTCGTTGTTGTTTTGGTTGTTGTCGTCGTACCGGTTGTCCTATTAGAAAAAGCAAGTAATAATTTAATATTATGAAATATCTCCCCCTCTGTCAAAATGATACGTTTTAAATGTAAAAATTAGTAATTAAAATAATATTTATTTATTTAATTTTTCACAATTACGTCACAAATTATCATTATTATTATTATTATTATTATTATTAATCGTTTAATACCATCGTGTGTTGTATGATTAAAATTTTAATTTTGAAATCAACGGTCATTCGTCGAATATGGACGTTCGAGAACGTAAATGATGAAATTCAAATTTTCGTTACAATTTTACTCGATAGAGGGTGTGAGAGAGGGGGGATTTTTCGTCAGAGTCAATTGACAATTCCGCCGTCGGTTTACTTAATTTTGCAATTAAAAAAATGATGATGATGATGATGATGATGATAATAATGAATAATAACAGTAATAATGATAATGATAATGATAATAATAATTTTTTCGAATTCGTTCTGAAGTCATATTAATTATGAATGGAGAGTTTGTTTTTTATTGTTTTACTCCATTAAGTTTTTGTTTTAATAAATACTAAAAAAAAAAAAAACTCGTCACCGCTTTTTATTGTCAATTTAATGACTTTAAAAAGGTCAAGAGTTTGTTTCTTTTTTTTAATAGAAAAAGCTGGGGGGGGAGGGGGGAGAAAAAAAGAAATTTTTTTAATAAATATTAATTCGCTGCCATATGCATTCGAACGATATTAAAAATAACAAGGGAAGAATGTATGCGGAGCGTTTGAATGACAAACTCGCTGAAATCAAGAAGGCGGTGACGACGACGACGACGGCGGCGGTGGCGGTGGCGGTTAACAAGAGAGTCTGATTCACGTTCGCCTTTTTTTTTTTTTTTTTTTTTTAATATTTTTTCTTGAGAAATGCGATGACTATAACTACGGACGGACAGATTATAGGCCGAATAGTAATTAGATTTATATTTTATTGTCGTTTCGACATGAAATGGAAACGAGAAAAAAAAAAAAAAAAAAATCACACATATAATTTTGTTCAGCCTTTCAAATGTCGAGAGTTTAAAAAAAAAAAAAAAAAAAACAAATTTTCAACCTTGAAAAATACGTGAAAATATTACTTGAACAAGCAAAAGGTATCTGCAGGAATGAAATAAAATTTTTGCTTCGGTTAAAATTTCTAGAAATTTCGAACGGGTTTTTTTTAAGAATTTCACATCCGAGTAACGTTTTTCATTTATTTCCTCCCAATCCAATCGTTTTATTATTTATCGTAGAAAATTCTGGATAAATGTAGAAGTTGAGTGAACCTCGTGTAAAAAAAAAAAAAAAACAGTATTTAAAAATTACTATCAAAATACAATCATCGTACGTACCTAGTTTGAGAGAATGAAAAAAAAAAAACTTGATTTTTTTTTTTTTTTTTTGTAATAGTATTTTAAGGACATTCAAATGGCCTTGAAAAAAATTCAGGCATCATAGAATAGTAGTAGAATAAATCCAAGTGTGTGTGTGTGTGTGTGTGTGTGTGTGTTAGTTTTAGTTTTTGTTTTCGTTTACATAATAATGACCGAAAATTGCACAAGAAAACAAAAAAAAAACGAAAACAAAAACAAAAACGTCTGCTTGCGGTTTTGTCACGGGGTTAAAACTTGAGAGATGCAGTTAAAATTATTAAGTAAGGGTAAAAACCCCGATAAATAATAATAATAATGATAATAATAATTTTGTGTTTTTATTATTACCCATTAATATTATTATTATATTAGGGGAAGAGTTCCGGTAATGTACCAAATGTTACCATTAAATGTTTCTTCTTCTTTTTCTTCTGCTTCTTCTTCTACTTCCGATAAGAAAATTTGTTTCCGATTTTTTAAGTAATTCGGGGGGGAGGGGGAAGGGGAAAGGGAGGGGAAAGAAAAGAAAATTTTTTTTTTTTTAAAAACGATTTAGCAACAAATGAATGCGTCACGGCACGTGTGTAAACGAGTTTTCATTTTTTTGCAAATTAATGTTTCTTAAAAAAAAAATAAAAATTCGTTATAATATTATTATTATTATTATTATTATTATTATTACTGCTACCACTACTATCTTCATCATCATCATCATCATCATCGTTATGACTCTTGTGAAAATTCATTTTCGAACGTTTCGAGCGGTGGTTATTTTTTTTTTTTTTTTTCTTATATAATCCTCGATTAATAATTTATAAATTTGTGTCGTAAATTTTTGATTTAAAAAAAATTCCCCGTTTCCAACCGATCGCTTTTAAAATAATAATGATAATGATGATAATGATAAGAAAAGAAATTTATTCCGAATCATATTCAACGACTTGTTGTGAAATGTTGCGAAAATTCCTCCAGGAGGTTACGTTAGTTATTATCGTACATACATCATACGCACATTTTCCAGTTAGTAATGGTTGTTACCCATCATATCGTAACGAGTATAAAAAATAAAAAGTTATTAGTTTTAATCCATTGTTTGTGTGTGTGCGTGCGTGCGTGTGTATACGTTAATATATTGAAATGTTTTTTTGTTCATTTAAATAAAAATATATATATATATATAGAGGTATTTGTTAATGACCTTAATTAATAAAATGTAAATGTTTTTTTTCTTTTTATTTAATTATTTTTTTAAAAAGTCTGGTTTGAATTACTATTATTATTATTATTATTATTATTATTATTATTATTATTACTTTTCGAACGTTAATAAATTTACAAATAGAAAAACAAAAAAGAAAAAATTAATATTTTTAGTGAAAGTTAATTACATATTGATTTTCAAGGTGTTACTAAAAACAAAAAAAAAAAAAAAAAATCAAAGTTAAAAAAAATGGGGGGGGAGGGGGAGAGGGTGGAAAATATTTATATTAATTGAATTATTGAAATATTGGAAAATTTTTTTTTTTTTCGTAAATGGATCCCCATTTATTATTTTTAATTTTTTTCTATTCGGGATAAAGAGAGAGAGAGAGAGAAGAGGGGGGGTAAAAAGAGACTATCTCGTGTTAACATGTAATAATTCCATGATGTATTTGTACGTCGGTATAAAAAGGGGAAAGGGAGAGGAAGGAGAAGGAGGAGGGGAAGGAGAATTTTCGTTTTTTTTTTTTTTTTTAACGCCATTAAGGTTTTCGAATTTTAAATTAATACAAAAACGATAATGTATAAGAAATATATGGTCAGTAACCGATTTTGTCGACAAACTCCTCGATAGTTTCAATTATAGAAATCTCAAATAGATTTTTCTAGAAAAAAAAAAAAAAAAAAGAAAAAGGAAAACAACAACCAAAAGGTTTCTTATTTTGGTTTTCATCAACAATTTTAAGACAAACAATATGTTGAGGGTTTTTAAAAATAAAAAAAAAAAAAAAAAGGTTTCGAACATCCGTTTGTTAAATCTTGTGTTGTTAAGGTTATTGAAAAAAAAAAAAAAAAAAAAAATTATTATTATTATTATTAAAAGCGTGTGCGTGTGCTCTTAAAAGACACCTGCTTTTTTCTCTCTCCCTCTCTTTCTCCCCCCCCCCTCTCTCTCTCTCTCTTTTTAACTTTAACAACGTGTGCAGATTGCACGTGAATTTAACCACACACACACACACACACGTATCGTAGTTTACATAAAGGCAGGCACACACGCACAGAACCTGGTTTAAAAGTAAAGTAAATCAAAGCGAAATGTTTGGTATTCTTTTTCTTCTTCTTCTTCTTAAAAGAAGAAAAAGAAAGAAAACCTGAAATGGTGTGCGCTTTTTGATTCTACCTAAGTTTAGTTAAGTTCATTTCACTTAAAGGAAGAATTGCCCATTAACTTTTTTTTTTTTTCATACGGCAAAATTACCCCGAAGATAAAAGAAAAAAAAAAATGGCCAAAGAATTTTTACGCGTAAAAAAACGAAACGAAAAGATTTATTATTATTTCTTTTTATTTTTATTTTGGTCAAATTACTCATTTTCCTTTTTTTTTTTTTTCCTTTTTTTTTTGTTACCATAATCGAAAAAATAAATTTCCTTTTTTTTTTTTTTTTTTTTTTTTTGTTTTTGGCGGGATTCATATTTAATTATTACCGTACTTTATTCTTTTTTTTTTTTTTTTTTTTTTAGTGTAAGGACAATCCTACGCTTGAGAGAGAGAGAGAGAGTCAATCGCCATGTTGGATTTAAAATATTTTTTTTGGACGAAAATAAATGATATGAAATATTTTGCTACGACGATTCACGAGATTCACTACTCGCCCATCAACCTAAATTCGACATTATTAAAAACTCCATCGTCAGGTACGTTTACAAAAAAAAAAAAAAAAACGAGCTCAAATTCGTGTTTTTTTAAAAATGGGTTTTGGTTAATGGCGACCGTTTTAAAACGGTCGGTGCGAAAAACAGAAAAGAAAATTATTATTAAAAGTTTCGAACCTTAAAAAAGAAACGCCAGAGTGCCTGATGATTTTTTTTTTAAAAAGTCGAACAACACGGTTTGAGTTAGTAAAAAAAACCTTACATAATAATAATAATAAAAAAAATTTTTTCAACGATGATTCAGGTATATTAATAAATATTTGTGTTATTATTCACTTCGATAAAAAAAAAAGAAAAGACATTCATAAAAAATAATAATAATAATAAATTTAAAGGATTAATAATAATAATAAGAAGAAAAAGCGTTGACAGGAAGGTATTAGAAAATAAAATGGAAGGAATTTTTAATAATTTAAAAAATCATAATTAACTCAACTGTATTAATGTATTGAATTATTATTATTATTATTATTATTATTATTATTATTATTATTATTATTATTATTATTATTATTATTATTATTGGTATTTTTTTTCTTTTTTAGATTTGTTCAAAAGTCGGAAAACTTCATAATACGAATTATCTGAGTAAATGAGTGAGTGAGATTAATTGAATAGGATTGAAAATCATTTTGCAATGAATCAAACGTCATTCGTATCAATAGAGGAAGATGGTAGCATTTGTTTGAAAAATTTAGTCGGATATGCATCTCCAAAGTTGACACCCAAGCATTCGAGAAGCGTGAAACAATCGAAAAGAAGAACGAAATCTCACGAATCTCCCCATTTAGAATTTCCACCTCCTCCCTCTTTTCCACCCCCTGAACATTACGATCTTTCCGACGAATATTCCGTCGATTTAATCGATAATAATTTATCGAATTGTAATAAAAATCACAATCGTTTAATAAACGATAATTTGATTAGTTTTCGAACGACGGACAGAGATGATGAAGGATTTTGGAACAGTCCGGTCGAAGCTCCCTGGAGTTATTTCCTAGGAGGAGTGAGTAAAGATAATTACAAAGAAGAAAATGGTAAATGGATATACGATGGAAGAAGAGGGGGAAAAAAAAAAGAAAATAATTTAAATGAAACAAATCAGTTTTGGGAAGATCGAACGCGAACGGGAGTACAAGAAGAAGCGGAAGAAGAAGAAGGAGAAGGAGAAGAAGAGGAAAGTTGGATTTGTAAAAATTTCGATTCGTCCACTCCCTATATGGAAAGGAAAAGTAAAATGAAAAAAAAGAATAAAAAAAATAAACCTACGGACGAAACGGATCACGTCGTTTCAGAAGAAATAATGTTGATTAATAAGTTGAAAGAAGATTTTATAAATGGGGAAGATAAAAATTTAAATGATGTTAAAAATTACCGTAGCGAAATATGGGTGTCCGCAGTTCCGGTTAACGAAAGCGAAAGAGAAGATTTGATTATGAAAGATGAAAAAAATCAAGATGGTTCTTGCATTCAAATGAATAAAAACCACATATCGAACGTTCTCATAACGCATGGAAACGATGAAATTTTAGATAATTTCATTGAGAACAAACCGATTCACAAAGGGAATCAAAACTTTTCGAAAAATGATAAATACGAAGTGAATTTAATACACGAATACACTGGAAGTGACGACATGGATGACGATCGATCCGACGATAAAAACATTGAAAAACGTTTTCATCGTCGTAATGAAAATTGTAAAAGGGATCAGGAAAAAGATTGTAAAATATCCGTGGTTTCGAATGACGTAAACGATCGAGATTACCGTTTTTACAAAAATAGGAAAAACGCCACCTTTCAAGGGCCCATACCTGAAAACGTTTCCGTTTCCGGTGATTCGCCCGACGAGTACTCGTACGCTTATTACGAAGCCGGTCCGGTAAATAGAATTATTACCAGCACGGATCCAAACAGGTATGGACACGATCGAAACTCACGTTATACGTATACGACCCGATACGGAACGGAAGAAAATATTTACGAAGAAATCACAGAAGTCGGTTATAATTTAAAAGACAATTATTTCGACGGACAATCCCGGAAAAAATTCAATAGGCAACCGAGGCACTATCATCAGGGTTCTTTGGATTCGGGAAGGAAACGTGAAGAGAATTACGTTGGAAATCATCCCTGTAGTAAATCTCAATCTCAAATGTCGTTGAATCAAAGTATTTTGGAAGAAGAAGTGAGAGAAGTGCAATCGACTCACAGGAGAGTTTTGGGACAGTTAAATTTGACGATGGAAGAAATGCTCATGCCCAACGTTCTGAAAGAAAAAGACGGAGGAGGTTTAAAAGAAGATGGAGATTTTAAAAAGGTCGATGTGATGATGATGGAAGACAATCAAGTGAATCACGTTACGGATTTGGATTCGGGATTTTCAGGTTCTTCCGGAACGAGCGTTAGTTTTTACGGCATCGCCAACGGTTGTTCGAGATCCGGAACATCCGTCAAACAACACGACGCACCGAGATATTCCCTCGCGAACAATTCCAAAATCTATCCTCAAATTTTTATCAAGTCTAAAACTTGCAACGAAACGGCTCCATACGTCAGAAGCGGTCCGGGATGCTGCGGCGATCATTGTTACGTTGAAAAATATTCTAATCAGAGGAATGAAAAAATGAATTTGGGTAAGTCATTTTCCACGCTACTGAGTAATTTCAATTTTTTTTGAGTAACTGTCATTAGGGAAAAGAAAAAAATTAATCTGCATTAAATCCCGTGTTATTATTATTATTATTATTATTATTTAATTATAACATTTAATTACCCAGTTTTTGACCTGGACGTCGTGATGGTTGGTAACGATAATGAATAAAAATAATTTTTTTTTAAATTTAGAATCTGCGACGGGTTATTCGCAAAGTTCTTGCTACGGATCATCATCATCATCATCGCCGTTCCCTTGTTCTCAAAACATTCCAAATTTTCAAAGGAAAGATTATCCTTCGAATAATTCCATAGACGTTTCTTATAGAAAAAACAGTCATTCGTCGGTGAAATCACTTAGTTTTCCAAGGGGAATGACACCACCAGTGAATAGTAATAATAGTTTTTCGAAAAGACTGACCGGAAGTGGATCGTGGGCGAAACGGGGTTGGAAAAAATTGACGGGATTGAGCATCGGGAGCACAAATAAAGTAAACGTTTGGGGTAAGTGTCATTTTTCGTTTTTATTTAACTTCATAAAAAGTTTTGGGTTTTTTAGAATTCGGAATACTTTTTTTCTGGTTGTTGTTGTTGTTGTTGTTGTTCAGAAAGTCAAAGAGGTTTAATTGTTTACGAGATTGATTAGATCGTTTTTGTTACATTTTTCCAATGTAAAATTTGATGCTGTTTATGAATTTCGGTACTGGACCGCTGATCAACCGGGATGTGAGGGGCAACGTATGATTTTGTATGATTTGTTATCATGTTTCGTTCTGAACATTTAAAAACTCGCATTAGAATTTTTTGTAAGTTGCTTTTTGTTTGAGAAAAATTTATTCGATGTAAACAAAACTCAAAACATCGTTTGATTTCGAATGTGAGAAAGTTTAGGGAGTCACACGAGATGATCCCCTAATTTAAGATAATTATACAAGAGAGAGAGGGGGAGAGAGAGAGAGAGCTTTATCTGATTAAAGTTTGCCCTTGGATAAAACTTGACAAAATTATTTATATATGATATTAATTAATGAAGTCAAAGTTATTTTTGTTTATATATATATAACATCAAGAGGTCTTTTTTGTTTTCAATAGTTTAAGGAAAAAAAAAGTATCAGGTTTTCTTGTCAGCAGAATAATTGACACGTTTATTATAATATGCGAATGATAATTTTTAAATGTCGAAAAAAAAATGAAGTGAGAATGACGTCGTTCGTTCGTTAAAAAAAAAAGTCGATAATTGTTAATTTGTTGCATATATACATACGTTTAGCGTAACCATGGAAGCAGAAGGAAGCGATAAATGATAATAAATAAATGAACCCGTTTATAATATGGGGAAAACAGGAATAAAAAAAAAATGTTCGTGCTATGCTACTACTAACACGATAGTCTTCGAAAAGATTTAAAACGTTCGACATCAAATTAAAAAGAAAAAAATTATTATTATTATTATTTATTTATTTATTTATTTTCGTTCGTTTGTGTTTGTATGTTGTAAAGAAAGGCAAGAATCTTGTTTGTTTACTTGTTTGTTTTTGTTTCGAAAAAAGTTTTTTTTTTTCGAGTTAAAAACGAGAAATAAATGTGGGGAACCCAGAGTGAAGTGAAGTTCACCGAATTACGTTACAATCGTGAAAGTGACTTTTATTATTATTATTATTATTATTATTATTTTTACGAAACTTGCTTGAGATTTTTATCATCATCATCATCATCGTGATCATTTTCATAAATGGCGCCATTTTTGAAAAAAATTAATGAAAAATAATTTGTCGTTGTTTTTGTCTCTTGTCTACCGATTTGCAAATCGTCGTTAAGCTAAGCGTTAAAAAAATATAAGAAACGATCATTTGCTCGAAGCAAAACATTGGATAGAGAGAGAGAGAGAGAGGGGGGGGGGGAGAGAGAGATAGAAAATGGAAAACGTAATTTTATTTTCTTTCCACGATTTTGTCGATTATATTCGTTCGCTAAACATAGCAACCAACGTGGGAAAAATAAAAAAAAAAAAAAAAAGCTTTTGCGCGGTTAACAAAATGGGAGTTAAATCAAGTACCAACTTTCTGAAACGAATCCTAAAGGCACAACACGATGAGGGATTGGTTCGTGTACAGAAACCAGTTTAGTCGGGAACACAAACATGGAGACGTGCTAAATACGCAAAAAATAAAAAATAATAATAATAATAATAACAAAAAGAAGAAATAGAAAATTTCTTTTGCGTTCAGAAATTAGTTCTTTGTGATTTGAAAAAACATTTTTTTGAAATTCCAGTTTTTGTGTGTGAAAAAAGTTTAAAATTTTAAATTTAAATTGTGCGTATGTGATGCGTATTTTCATGCGTATGTGTATTTGATTATTATTATTATTATATTTTGTCGAAGGATTTTGTGTATAGGTTTTTTACGTTTTGTTTTAATTTTGCGTTATCGATTGGTTTTTTTTTTTAAAGTTAAAATCATTTCAAGGAAACAACCGGTTAACGTTACGGTCTGTCAGTTTTTTGTTTGTTCGTTTGTTTGTTTTTTGAGATTTTTTGTTTGTCGAGTAGATAGAGAAGGAGAGAAATGTCGTAAAACTCCTTAAATAGTATGTTGTTTTTCTCTCTCTCTCTCTCTCTTACTAAATTCGAAAGGTGAAACTGTGGTTAATTTTGTTCGTTCGTTCGTTTGTTCGTTTGTTTGTTTGTTTGTTTGTTTGTTTGCCAATTGACTGGATGCGAATGAATCGAAAACATTCGAGTCGCAAATAAATTATCGTTCATTTCCTAGGGCTTCGAAGGTTAAACCCAACAATAAAAAAAATAAAAAAATAAAAGTTGTGCAAGAGAAGAATGTCTTATTATTCGAAAACCGTGGCGAAGATGGTGGCACCCACCCACTCGCTGAGCTTTCTGAGCTTTCTGAGGAATTTTTTAATTTTTTTTTTTTTTTTTCAAAATGTCATTGGCAATAATTTTCTAACGTTTCTTTCCCCCCTGCCACTGCTCCCTGCCCTCTGCTCTTGCCCCCCTTTTTTCCCTTTGCTCTGCTTCTTCACCTTCTACAAATGTCTGTCGAACTCAAAAATTGTGTTTAAATGAAATATTTTTTCGTATAAAGTTGTCGTTGTTGTCGTTTGTTTTGTTTTGTTTTGTTTTGTTGGCAGTGTAAAAATAAATTTGTGAATCAGTGTAAGAAAACGTAAAAAAAAATTTTAAATCAAATGAGATCATTCGGTTGGTTGACGAATTATTAAAAAGTTAATTGTGATGATGGAAATAATAATAATAATAATCATAATAATAATAATAATTCAACGGCTAATAAAAATTCGCAAAAATTTTTTTTCAACGAAAATGGAACGTTGCCGACAATTGAAAATTTGGCTGGCACTGAAAGCCCTTTGATTTCTTTTTTTTCCCGGGGGGGAGGGAAGGGAAGGAGTGGAAGGAGGAGGGAAAAGGGGGAGGAAATATCTAGGTGACCAAACAACAGGATATTTATTCATTGATTCAAAAAATTTTTTAATAAAATCTTGGCATTTTTTTAAAAATCGAATCGATTAACACATATTTTCGCGGAAACGCCATTTTTTTTTTTTTTTTTGTTTTTTTTTGGTGAACAATACATTCGGGCTTTATTACGGATAAGATAATAATAATAATAATGATGATGATAATAAAATGTACATTTGCCACCATGTAAAAAATGAAAAATAGAAAAAGGAAAAAACCTCAAGTAGTCAAAGGCATATATTTTGTTTTCATTTGAAATTTTTTTTTTTTTTACAAAACTGCTTTTTTTTTTTTTTTTTATTTTGGCGTGGGCGAAATATTTTTTTTTTAATAAATTTCAACTCGTAACATTTTCCATTTTTTTTTTTTTTTTTTTTTTTCACGTGTCATTGAAATTTTTTTTACGTGAATTTTTATTAGTAAATTATTTAAAAGTTTTCTCAATTATTTGGAACGTGTTTTACCTGACGTTTTTCTCATATAATCAAACGCACGATAAATAATAAATAACGATTATTATTATTATTATTATTATTATTTAATTTCGAATCGTATGAAAAAAAAAAAAAAAAAAACGTTTGACATACTTTCTTTCCCCCCTCCCCTCTCTCTCTCTCTATCTCTCTCTTCATGTTGCAAGTTTAGTTTAACCTCTCTGCCCACTCGGGCGCCATTTTTTTTTCTTTCTTTCTTACCTCTCACGTCTTTTGCTGCCCTCTATTCTATCGCAATAATTTTCTGTCTCATTAAATGATAAAAAGACAATATGTTTATTTAATCAATGACGAATTGATAAATAGACATATAAGAATACTCGATCGATATATCGATCCATCGATGGGTCGTAATAACAATCGATTTCGACCGAATTGTTTTTAAAATTGGGTTTTTAGCTCGTGCACACGTGTTTTGTTTAATTGTGATTGTGTCGTTGAAATTATTATTATTATTATTATTATTATTAAATAATCATAGAGTGAAAACAATCATAGAGTAAATAAATAAAATTAGGAACGATTTTTTAATAAATGTCCACCGTGACACATGTGGGATTCGATAACTCGTGGAATGTTTTTATTTCTCTCTCTCTCTCAAGAAGACACTTGAGTAATAAATTACGTAATAAAGTTTAAAAAAAAAAAAAAAAAAACTTGCTCCAAAACTTTTTTCGTTTGTTGTTGTTGTTGTTGTTGTTGTTGTCGTACACTAAACGGTGTGAATAATTCGTTTTTATAAATGGTAAAAAAATATATGAGAGAGAGAGAGAAAGAGAGAGTATATATTAATATATTGAAAAAATTCCCAGTCCGACATTGAAAACGATATATAGGCGTTCGTGGTCGTTGTAGTCGTCGTCGTCGTCGTCGTCGTCGTCGTCGTCGTCGTTTCTTTTTTTTTTTTTATAAATAAATCCACTGGCGTGTGTGTACGTACGGTTTTAAAATTTTCTATTTTATTTTTTTAAAATTGTTTGTTTCGATGTGTTTGTTGTTGTTGTTGTTGTTGTCGTCATCGTCCTCGTCATCGTCATCGTCGTTACGGTGATGAAAAAGAAACGATCGAACACCGGTGTCTCTGTTGTCTGTCGTTGCAAACATTTTTCTTTGTTTGTTTCTCTTTTTTTTTTTTTAAAAAAAAAATTTTCCCGTTGCCATTGGGGGGCCCAGTTAGTTAGTTAGTGTTTTAATACGCGAGAAGTGCGTCGTAGTGCGTTTCGAAAAAGAAAAAACAAATTCGGGTTTGATTTGTGTTGTGCGTAAATTGTGCGTAATGTTTGTTAATTTTTATTTAATTTTTTAATTGTTTTTGTTTTTTTTGTTTTGTTGTCCGTTATCGTCGAGCAGGAAAAGACAAAAAGTGTGTAAATTCCGGTGCCCGATTATGAAATTATAAATAATACACACGCGCACGCACACACGCACTCATAAATTTTTTAATTCTTTGTGACGGTGTTGATGACGGTGGTGGTTGTGTCGGTGGTGTTATTTTAAGGATTTTAAGAAAAAAAAATGGTTTTGTTAAGGAAACATTCTTCAAAAACAGGTATTTATCATACCTTAAAGTGTTTATTTATGCACGTAACGATTTTTTATTTTATTTCTTCTTCGAACCTTTTCTCTCTTTCCGTTAAATAGAAACTCGAGTTTTTT